ATGGAGGCAGTATGACCTCTGAAACGTTGGTAAACATCTACCAGACTACACAGCGCAACAACCCAGAAGACAGAAATCTTGATCGCCCTGATGATGGAGGCAGTATGACCTCTGAAACGTTGGTAAACATCGACCAGACTACACAGCGCAACAACCCAGAAGACAGAAATCTTCATACTCACCGCTGTGAAAACCTCAAATCTTACTTAGTTTCAGTTCTTTTTTATTATTTCAAAACACACCTGAAAGTATCTTAAACGCCAGATAAATTAATTATTCGCATCCTTCCTCATTTTAGGCTCGCCATAGTTAAACATGTGAGTATGGAATTAATAGACTGGGCCCGATTTTCAAAAGCCTTACTGGACAGGTAACCACGCAAAATACTGATGGCTGATTCTAGGACAGTTTGTATAATGACTTATATAACGTCAAGGAATAATGATTAGATTAATACGTCAGCTCAGATATGTGAGCTTTATATAACCATGAATTCGTACAAAATACACTTAGTAAACAATACAAGCAGGTGCCGGACGTGATTGTACCCCCCCCCCCCCTCTCCTCCATGTATCACGGCCGATCTTAAATTAAACAAAAGAGCCCGTGCTGTTACTGCGTTATGTAAGTTGTGTTAGCAATGAAAGACCCGGTCGAACCACACCATCTACAAGGCCTAGGCAACACAGCAAATGCCATGTTATATAATGTCGCTCGCGAGTCCTTTTATTTGCTCCGTTGCCATCATATATTAAACAAAATTACATAAACATTTGCAATCGTGAGACTGGACACATTTACAGGAAACTGCTATCAAACGCTGTCCAACCTGCACATTACTTTAAAATTTAAACACACAACAAGATATGACAATATTCGGGGATGTTGTTCCACTGCTCGTTTCTGGTAGACATCTGCCGACGTTTCAGAGGTGCTTACTGCCTCCATCATCAGGGCGATACTGATGGAGGCAGTAGTACCTCCGAAACGTTGGTAAACATCAACCAGACTGCACAGCGCAACAACCTAGAAGACAAGTCATCTCTGTATTTACGTTTGTACCGACCTAATAAGCATTGCTGGGACCTTCTATAATGAACAGAACGACCTACTGACCGAGTTTCGTTGTCAGTCTTAGTCTCCCAGACGAAGGCTGGAACAGCACTCAACTATGATCTTACGTGACGTAACAACGTCGTTTCAACATTACTTATTACCATTATCCATAATCCTCCCATATCACTGACGATAAAAACATCTGAATCGTAAACTGCGCCGATAAGTAACGTAAGATCACAGTCTCGAACCACGTGTTTCTTGGTCTACTTACGTAAGCGTCGTTCAATCTGAACACTGAAAAATAATGGCTTTCTTACTTCAACTGGAGAATGGTTGTGCATTCCGGCCGTCAGTCTTTTGTCTGTTGAACACAATACTAGTTTTGAGCTGTTAATCCTGAATATAATGACCGCCGCTTACAACGATCGGTATATTTCTTGTTAACATAAACCTCTTCCTTTATTTATGTTATATTATTTCTCCTTTTGTTTGTAAGGGAACATATCCAGTAAGATTAATCCCGCATCTTGCCAAATTACATTATGCAAAGGTATAATTATAATCTGCATGAGTTCCTTAATAATATTAGTGACTGTCACATTTTATATGTACATGCTTTAAGGATGTATACTTTATATTTAAACGCAGAATATTTTATCTTGTAGAGTTCTATCTAAAGGAGAGTGGAAACGTGTACTCCAGATTACAGCACTCTTTTAAATGCGTAATTTTCTACGTAACGCACCTCACTGGCCTTGATATTTGTATACTACCGATGTAAATCTTACAGTAGAATAATTAACACGTGTCTGTTGTTATTTTTTTTGTAGTGTTCTGTCTGCCGACAGGTCCATATGAACAGGATCCTTCCATCCTTTTCTCGGACTGGGACCTGTTCATATACGTTCTTGGCAGATGATCCAGAAGTGGTTTGCCATTGCCTGCTTCTGTGTGTGAATGGAGAAACCGGGGAAGCCCCCGGAGGAAAACCCCGTGTTGCCTAGACCACGATCTTGCCCAACACAAGTTATAAATTCGGGCACCGCCGGGAATCGAACCCGAGACCCCAGGATTACAAGGCCAGCCTTCTAACCGCTAGACCACCGTGGCACGGTCTGTTGTTAATATAATATTTAATCTTTTTCGACTTTTCATGTATTAGCCTCAAACTTGTTCCAACTTCGTACCCATCTTTTAAATGATCCCTTTTAAGCTCTTCTCAGAACTTCTCGTCAGTGGTTACGGAACAAATTTAAAGCACTGAGAATGTTTTGGTGCATTTTATGAGTCACTGTCATAAACATCGGTCTTGAGGGGGTGGGGAGGGCCTTGGTACGTAACGCATGCGCAATAGGAAAACAGCGCTCGAACATCAGCACAATTATACAGCAATCAATCACAATCTAGAAAAAGTAAACACTCGAAATTGCCAACGACTTCCGTTGACAGAGATGTCAAGCTTTTACAAACTCTTCAAAGATTAAGTGCTGGGAGATCTGCATTTCTTTCTGGTGTTAACTAACTCCAGAACTGCAATAAGGAAAGTAAACGATCATGTTCATATATTATTAACGATAGCAAAATTACAGAGAAAAACGGGGAGTTCACTCGAACAAAATGGACAGTGACAGACTACTTAACCTTGAACTTTAAATCTTTCCAAAGAATTATAGCGATGGCCTATAGGAAAACCACTGAAATGTATCCGATAGGAAACAAACCCATTCTTACAGCTTTGTATGAGTGAACGAGACTGTCACTATTATTAATAGTAATTAAGATACAACGGGGATTGGCGGTTGGAAATATTGATGAAATATTCGTATGAAAATCTACGCGGTATGAAGGGACACAAGATGAAGCGATTTCTATTGTAAGTGAAGTGAAGTGAATTTATGCGAGTCTTGCAAGAAATAATCAAGAGCATTGTTTTTAAATATGCCACTGTCACGTTTAGGAGAATGATAAGCCTGCACTGCACCCTTTCTGCGCTGAGTTACGTTTTAAAACATTGTCATCTTATGTTTATGAAGCTTACATTTACCATTATACAGTAGCTACGACTGAGAACGGCCTAATGTCGATTGAGCTACCTGGTTAGGATCCCAGACTCTGCCAAGAACAGGCCTACCGGGATTCAAACAGACCACAACAGCGTTCTTCCAAATCATTGCTAATTCACCATTCCATTCCACGCTATGCAAACTTTGTTAAACAACCTAAATATCAATACAATATAATGCTTTGTGTCTGGAAAGAAGAGTTTGACTGTTTCAAAGTACTTCTTACAGTGTTTAGACACTGGTAACTACATATACGTGAATAAATTTTTGTATTTGGTCAACAGTAGTATGGATGTGCACAGAAGTACACTTAAAAATATTAGTTCATATTTAACAGACTTGACACATTAAATTATGTAGCTTTGTTTTTAACCTTAAAACCTTTCATAGCGAGTAGCGACTCAACGTAAAAATTTTATATACAACTACTAACACTGAAGGGTAGTATATTTATATGCCAAACGCGTTTTTACATTTGTTTTTTAACAATATACGGGTACGAGCACTCGGTGGTACAGAACTGCAAATACCCGTGAACTGTATTAATATTTCGTAACGATTTGCAATGGAACAGACCATGCCGTCTCCGTGACAGAACCGCTGTCAGACAACACAAAGGCATTGTATTACTCCTGTTTTGCTGTTATTATATAAAGCAATAAACCTAGCAAGAAATGAGCTTGACATTGTGTATATCAAATAGATTAATGATACTACGAAGTCTTAAAATGAAAGCATATTGTTGTTGTACAGTACTTACGATCATTAACCGACTTCACCCGGAATGTCTGTATTGTTTAAATGTTAATTAAAGTTTCTTCAACACGAAACAAAAACTGATACACACTGCACATATCTACAAAACTGTTTTATTTACAGAATAATTAACACATCGACTCCATACACAACTAAGCACTAGTCATAGTTACATCTGCCTGCTGTAGATGACAGGAGTGCACTGAACTTGACTATATCGATACTTGCTCTGAAAGGTCGACGTACGCTGTTGCAAGTTTTTGTGTATCTTTGCATTATATTTTCGCATAAAGAAACGTCATCTTTGCCCGTAATTCTATTGAATGGACCGATAATTTATTACGGGGTTTTAAATTTTGGTTCTTGAATATATTCATTTGTATTTACTCCAAAACTATGGCTTACTTTCTACCGAATAAAGCCCATTGTGCCATCTCTTATTGTTTCTTCGTATCAATAAGAGAAACTTGCATGCAGCCGATGATTAGTCTTTTAAGTTAGTCAAGTTTTCAAAACTGTTCTTGTTAAAAGTATTTACTGAGGTTTTTGGATAGAAAAATGTGTGGGCAGGGAGGGCTTATTAGTACCTCAAGCTTCAGTGGGTGCAATGGTACAGAAAATTTAAAAATATCTACAATAACTGTACCAAAACATGGATGCAATTTCTTAACAGGACTTTGGAATAGATGGGAACTATGGAGTGTAATGTAACTGAATGAATTCAAGGAACGTGCTTATGGACTTTTATTTCTCAACACTTGTAATCATAAATTTATTCTATTCATGTTCTCCAAAAAAACTGCAAAGTATTCTGCCTCTTTAAAATTTAAAGATACAAAAATTGGATTTACAAAATTGTATGAGAAATGGACATAGGTGACGTGCTCTTGACAGTCACATTTGGAAACATTAAAACTTTGTGATATCCAAATATTTCAAACCCATATGATACATGGTTAAACTACAGCTACGTTTTCTCGTTCTTTTCCTCACAAAGTTTGCACTCAACCCTATACCTGTTCCCTTAAGTATAAATATAATTATACAATCATTACATTCAACTTATCTTCACATTTTTATCCCAGACACCAAGAACAAATACAGAAAAGTTTGTAAAAAAACCCACCTATTTTCAGGGCTCCAGAAACATGCCCATGCACTCACCACATAAGCAACTTTTAGAATTTTTAGTCTTGGTTTAAATGTATTCTATGGTGCGACAGCCCGAAGTCGAGCCTTGGCCTCCTCCCATGTGGGAGGTTTCTATGTCTTTGAAGCGTGCATTTATGAGTAGTGACGAGCCCACTGACTCTGCACAATTTCTACTCAATCCTGATTTGACTGCCAGAGCCATCTAGCAGTGAATCAGGAGAGACTTGGGTGAGAAATGGCCACTGAGGTTTAAATGCACGGGCAAGTAGAATTTATTAAGTAGCAGGATTATTTAAATATCAGTTGTATTTCTGGACCCCTGCGTAGTTTGTCATTTCACAATACATTAAGTAATTTTTGCCAAGAAATAGAAAGTCCAATTTATTTTCCCTGTCTATCACAAACACAATTACCTCTGAAAAGGCCTTTGTACAAGCAAAAACATCATTCCATAAAAGAATTAACATTTAAAGGTATAATTTTATACAACAACCAACACTGACCAAGCAACAGTAATTGCTGAGGCTTGACATAAATTTTGTCAAAACTTTTCATAAAATATATATTATGTGTTATGTAAATATATATATATATATGTATCTCTATATATAATTATATCATAGACAACAAATATTCTCTCATTTCATAGCTGTGGTATAATATAACAGTATGTCTCTAATCAATACTGTTCTTAGTCTACACCATTATAACAGCGCCACAGTGACAGAGTAAAGCACAAGTCTGTTTTGTCTACAATTGTGAAGTGCATCATTCAGTAGGTATGTCTGTACGTTTGAAAAGTAGGATTAATGGGAAGCTACTTGAAAGTTTACGTAGTCAACTCTCAAGTAACTGCTGCAGTGGATTGTACAAAGATTTAATCAACTTCAGACTGAATTCCTGTTGGTCCTTTGTTTCAGATAATTAAAAAAAGAGCGCCATAAGTAGCCATTTTACAAGATCACCACTAAAATTTATCTCGTATATTGGTTTACAATATACCATAACTAACAAGAACACAGCGAAACATTTTTTTTTTATTTTATCTTTTACTCAAAACACCATTTTTACATACCATACTGTTTAATGTATTACTGCAGTACAGGTTCTCCCCCATCATATTTTTGAACTTAGGAATCTGACCACCTAGCTAGACATGTGGTACTTAGCTGAGACCAGCTCAGACAGCCAGACCACTAGGCAGAATGGTTCCTGAGAAACCTCTAACGCTATATTAATATCTGAGTGAATGGAATAACATAAGAAGTGAATACAATGTAAGAATATTTATAGTTGACCAGCAACAAGCAAAATGTGACATAA